TAGGCCGCAGCTTGATGATCAACTTTGTTGTCATCTCATCTGATCTGTGGCCACAAGTCTTGGACACTCGGGTAAAGAGAGGGACAGAGCTGTCAACTGCCCAATACCTTGTGGTGAGTTGGCTTCAATGGTGGGGGAGGAAGCCGGTCAAACCTGGCAGACCCAAATGTATTGTCAGGGTCTGCTGGAAACGTCTGGTGGAGTCTTCTGTAAGAAGAAGTTTCAATTCCCACCTCTACAGGAACTTCCAAAATGTCTTCCAATATCCCGTGGAATTCAGGGGCAGTTGTGCTGGATTGGCAGACCAGGGTGGTGGTCCTCCTATTTAAAAAGGGGGGAACGCAGGATGTGTTACAACTACAGGGGGTCAAACTCCCGAGCCTCCCTGGTAAAGTCTATTCTGGGGCTTTGCAAAGGAAGGTCCAGCGGACTGTCGAACCTCTGATTCAGGAGGAACAATGTGGTTTTCGTACTGGCCGTGGAACACTGGACCAGATCTGCACCCTTAGGAGGGTCCTGGAGGGTGTGCAGCAGTTTGCCCAGCCATTCTACATGTGTTTTGTAGATTTCAAGAAAGCGTTCGATCACGTCCGTTGGGGGGCACTTTGTTGGGGTAATTCAGGAGTAACCCCAAAATTCCACTATCTCCGCTCCGCTGCGGTCCGCTCCGGCACGAACTCCGCAGCAAAAACGGTCCCGTTGTAGTCAATCAGAGCTGTTCCACTACTGCGGCCGTGCGGCGCAGTGCGCCGCCTGCCGTTCCGCCATCCGGCAAAAATAGGATCGATTCTATTTTTGCCAGAGCACCTCCGCAGTCATTGGACAGAAATCACAACCGCCCAACAGGAAAGGGAGCAAGCACAGCTTCCGTTTTTTCACAGGAAATCGATAAACAAAAAGCGTTTTTTGTTTTATATGCACAGGTTTAACAACTTTTAACAACTATCAATGGTGGTTGAACTTTAAATGCACAAAAATAAGCCATAAATACAGTTTCCACTATCAAAGTAGTCACACTTTGTTGATCCAAACACTGCTGATCTCTCAAAACAAATGATAGGCAGATTAAACAGTTCATTTCGATGCTTCTCCCACACAACGGGTGTTTGGATCTAACGTCCGCGTTTATTGCTCGGACTGTATCGCAAGATCTCGAAAATCCTGCGCATGCCTGTTTGCGCACCTCAGGTCTCTGTACCGGAGCGGAGCCGTTGTAGAGTGGGTACAGTATAATTTGAGTTCGGAAGCGAGTGGCAGCGGAGGGCGGGGTCGGAGCGGACATAGTGGAATTTTGGGGTTAGGTCCCTATAAGACTGGTGCCAGAGCTTGGTCTGTTTGCCAGCAGTAAGTTGGGCTCATTTTCAGTGAGAATTGGACTCTGCCAAAGCTGCCCTTTGTCACAGATTCTGCTCATAACTTTCATGGACAGGATATCTAGGCACAGCCAAGGTGTCGAGGGGATCCATTTTGGTGGCATAAGGATTGGATTTCTGCTTTTGTAGATGATGTGGTCCTGTTGGCTTCATCAGAACAAGATCTCTGGCTTTCACTGGAGTAGTTTGCAGCTGAGTGTGAAGCAGCTAGGATGAGAATCAGCTCCTCTAAAACCATGGTCTTGAGTCATAAAACGGTAGAATGCCTTCTCCGGGTCAGGGATGAGGTCCTGCCTCAAATGGAGGAGTTTAAGTATCTCTGTGTCTTGTTCATGAGTGAGGGAAAGATGGAGCGCAAGATCGACAGGATTGGTGCTGCATCTACAGTAATGCAGGCATTGTACCGATCTGTTGTGGTGAAGAGAGGGCTGAGCCAGAAGGCAACGTTCTTGATTTACCAGTTGATCTACGTTCCAACCCTCACAAATGGTCACAAGCTTTGGGTAGTGACCGAAATATGAGATTGCGGATACAAGCAGCAGAAATGAGAACCCAGATCTTCCAGTCCCAGATCAGACACTCTACCACTAGGCCACCGAGAAGGTAAGAAGGTAACACTTTTCTTCACGGGGTTAGAAGCTCAGTCCTCAGGGAGGGGCTCGGAGTAAATCCGTTGTTCCTCTACATCGAGAGGAGCCAGTTAAGGTGGCTCAGGCATCTGGTTAGGATGCCTCCCTGGTGAGGTTTGCTGTGTGTGTGTGTGTGTGTGTGTGGGGAGGGGGGGGGGGGGGGGGGGGGTGGATGGATGGTGCTCTCATTAAGAAAATGAGAACTAACCAAGCGCCGAGCAGGAGGTAGGGATGCAGAAACAGACAAGTTAAAGAAAATGCAATGGTGATCCGAAATATAAACGTTCTCAGGACAAACGATGTCAGCACTTAGATCCAGGGTAAAACCAAAGTCCAGAGTATGCACCCTGGTGTGTCTGGGGCCAGAAACATGCTGAGTCAAAGTGAAAGAGTCCATGAGGCTGGAGAAGCTGCTGGCATATTGGTCTGGTTTTAGAGTCCTTAATAATCATGCCTTGGGTTGTAAGGTTGGGCAATTCCTTGCTTTGATTCCAGTTCCTATTGATTCCAAATTCTGATTCTTTCAAGGGGCAGGATCCAAAAACATTACATGTTTTGAATGAGCCAGCTAACCACAGGTCTTACTTGATTAAATAATCTGAACTTAAACATTGGTGATGATGCTAGTGATGATTTGCTCGCACTGAACTGGGCAAAAGGGCTTCCGTTCACTCTGCTCCTTCTACATAGAACAGACTGCAGAAAAACTGGAAATTAACCAAGTATCTCCTTGAATAATTAAAACCAGACTGAGAACCCTTGAGATGGATTCCCTGTGTTGTAACTGCCTTTTGTAATTTAGTAACGGTACATATGTCTGTGTAACTGAAAAATTTGTCACTAACTTTTGCTGCCTCTGGGCCAGGACTCCCTAGAAAATGAGGTTTTTAATCTCAATGGGACCTTCCTAGTTAAATATCTTGTAATTTCTATTTTGTAATTTGGATTTTGTAATTTGTATTTTTTAATTTGTATTTTGTAATTTGAATTGCTTTTATTGTTGATTTACTCAATATATTTACCTACAACTGTACCATGTTCAGCGCTTTGGGCTTCCTGACAGGGTTGCGGAAGGCGCTTTATAAATAAAGCTTTGATTGATTGATTGATTGATTGATTGAAATATTGAATATATAAATAATCACATCGTCAGACTCGTCTCCTTTTTAGGGACAGAGAGAAATATTTTGCAACAACATTGTGCTGCTGTGTCTAAAGCGACACTTGCTCCGGGGCCCAGATCAAGCTTGCCACGCCACCACAGAGAGCACAGGGAATCGGTTCTGTCTAGGACATGCTCAAACACATTTCTTAGTGAGGACATCAAAGTTTTCATTGTGACAAGGTAACCAGCACACAGCAGATGCATTATTTTTCTGGAGAAGAAGTCAGGAAAGTCAAAACCATCTGCTGTTTCTTGACATGTTTAAATCTATACTAATGGGAGGAAATAGATTCCCAAGGTGGTGCTCTGGCAGGTTTCCTGCTAACAGGCACTTTGAGTGCTGGGTGTGAGGGAGAGGGCACGGGTTGTGCTTGCCTTTGTGTGTGTGTGTGTGTGTGTGTGTGTGTGTGTGTGTGTGTGTGTGTGTGTGCGTGCGTGCGTGCGTGCGTGCGTGCGTGCGTGCGTGCACGACACTGAAAGGAAGAAAAGATGGTGATCAAGTGAATAATAGTCACTTTTGTTTGTTTTAATAACAGAAAGATATTTCCTCTTCTATCTGATATTATTAACCAAACACCATATAAAGTTTACATTCCAAACAAAAATTCAAGGAAAAGAGAATATTTATTAAAACGTATTAACCATTTCAATTCCAGACATAGTTTAAAGGAATACAGGTTTCCCTTCCCTTGTTTAACTAAACAGTGAAAACAGACAGACACACACTTGGTTTGGGCGGTTTCAACGTATTACCGTATACAGCCGGTACTAAAAATAGCAACGGTGTCAGTTCCAATAAAATTCAATGAAAAAAATAATAAAACAAAGTAAAAATTAGTGTTGTTTAATGTAAAAAACTGATTCGTGGTTGAATTTTCTGTTTTACTTAAATTGTTTAAAAGGGTTTTTTTTCCAACTTTCTGAACTTCCTCACTTTTTTAAGCTTTGAAGTGACGCCAAGGTGGGTGAGTCCACGAATGTTAATTCAGCCGTTTCCAGATCGGTAAAGCCCTTCGCTGCCAGCGTTTTTCAGTGTTTTTCACTGGGTTTTTTAGAGTCACAGAACGTTGCGCGCTAGGATGATGCCGACGCCAAAACTACCCAAACAAAGAGTAGACTCACCTCTTACATCAGGAAGAATCTGCGCGTTTCAAGCATTATCCGTTCTTTCATAATCCGTCGTTGAATTGTGATCGGCAGAAGCTTTTCCGGTTCACGACTCACTTTTTTTACAGCAGCGGCCCAAAACGATCTCCTAACACATGGATTTTCTGTTTTCCGGTCACGTGACGTGTGACGTACGCGAACGAAGATCGGCTTTAGAGCTGAGATGTTTGTTCTCATGGTGGTGGTGGTGGTGGGGGGGGGGGGGACACCCACACAGTAAAAAAAAATGCAAATGCATTGGTAGTGAACAGTTGGATTTGAAACAACAACTTCTGTCATCAATGGCAGTAAATTAGTTAAGTGACAGTGTGACATAGATCTGTCAGGCTTTTCTAATCCTAGAGTTTCACCGTCTGTTTTCTATCAGAAGCTAAAGCAGGAGATAGGTGTAGGAAACTATTTTCATGTTCAGCCCGCATGAAACACTCAGAGCGACCCGTTAGAATCAGAGAAAATCGTTAAAAATGGTTTTTCAGTGTTCCCCACCTTTAAATTTAGAAAATCAAAAGTGACACTTGATAAATAATGAAACACTCCATCTGCTTCATGAAAGGTGGCTTATATCAGAGGTCTCTAATTTCTTTGGGAATGTTCATGTGGGAGCCCCAGAGGCCACCACACAGCTACATAAACATGCGTCCTTGTCCAGCAGTGTTGCAGACTCACCATAATGCAGGGATCTGAATCTGTTTTCCATAAACAGCAGTGCTGAAGGAGGGGATGATGGGGATGAGAGGCAGAAAACAACCTGTAGTGTCCTGGCAGGTTAATCCTGTCTGGAATCCAAACACCTGTAAAAATGAACAGAAATAATAAAACAGACAGCAAAGGTGAGATAAAAACAAGATGTGCATCTTAATATTAAAAACACTGCTGGTTAGTGTTCTGGTTTTGTCGTTTTTCATTATCTACACTCATGGTGGCCACACATAGCACAAGCGTGGGTGTGATGATGGTATTGAATCAAATAGGATTCAACGATTTAAAATGAAGTCTAAACCACAAATACCGGACTCCTAGAATGATGAGTACCACCCCGATACCCACACCTCTGTTTGAAAAACCACTGTCCTAAAGGTAAACCTTTTATATTTATATTTATATACTGTATATTTATGTCGATGAGGTAAACTCATCTATTCAGTGTTTTGGTGTTTCTGAGATAAAAGCAGCACCGAGTTATAACATTCACTTCATATCTCCTCCACTGCTGAGCACTTTTCAACAGTCTTTAACCAGATTTGTCAGATCCCGGATCTTTTATGCACCCAAATTGAGGAACTGAGCTCTTGGTTTGATTCCACCTGTCGGGCTGCTTTGGACACTGTGGCTCCATTAAAAACCAGGCGGCCTAAAGCTAAATCTGAGCCTTGGCAGAACGACGTGACCTGAGTTGTCAGACGCGACTGCCGTCAGGCTGAGCGCAAATGGGAAAAGGACAAACTACAGGTGTCATTTCAGATGCTGAAGGACTGTTGGCATCAATATCAAAGAACTGTGAGAGGCCAAAAGAAAACACTTATCTGGCATTATTTTGACTAACTGCCACAACCCGCGTGTTTTATTTAATACTATTAACTCTGTTCTTAGTGCACTGTTTACTGACTGTATTGAGCCCTCAGCTGAAGCCTGTGAACATTTTTTACACTTTTTTATTGAGAAGGTTTCCTTAACAAGGGCTCAAATCTGTCTTTGTGCTCCTGACCCCTCAGTCTTTGTTTCCTGCTCTGCTGTCTTTGGCAGGTTTGAGCCAGTGACCCTGCCCATTATAACGGAGACTGTTGGTCGTCTTAAGCCTGCTGGGTCTCCAAATGATGCTGTTCCTCCTTGACTTTTAAAAGAGGTGTTACCTACAGTTGGTCCTCTGGTTCTTGAGCTGGTAAACCATAGTCATAGTCATAGTCAGGCGTTGTCCCAAAAGATTTTAAACATGCAGTAGTCAAACCTCTGATTAAAAAACCTGCTCTTGATCCACAGGATCTGGCGAATTACAGGCCTATCTCCATACTACATTTTCTTTCTAAAATTCTTGAAAAGATAGTCTATAGCCAAATATTGGCCTTTTTGGAAAATCAAAATGTATTAGAGGTTTTCCAATCTGGTTTTAAACCCTTTCACAGCACCGAATCAGCCCTTTTAAAAGTTTTTAATGACAGATTCTTAGCTACTGATGCTGGGGACTGTGTTGTTTTTGTGCTTTTTAGATTTGACAGCTGGTTTTGATACTGTGGATCATGCCATTTTATTCTCTCGTTTGGAGCACTGGGTGGGCATTAGAGGCACAGCTCTCGAGTGGTTCAGGTCCTACTTGGCAGGGCGAACATTTTGTGTCAGTCTCGGTGACTATGTGTCGTCCTCTGCTCCTCTCTTGTGTGGTGTCCCGCAGGGCTCGGTTCTTGGCCCTCTCCTCTTCTCTTTTTATCTTCTTCCTCTCGGGTCTATACTGAGGAAGCATGGCATTGCTTTCCACTTGTATGCTGACGACTGTCAGATCTATGTCCCTCTTCAGAAAAAAGGCGGATACCGCATACAGCCATTACTTCAGTGTCTTGATGACATAAAGGCTTGGATGTCTATTAACTTTTTAAAATTCAATGATAAAAAGACTGAGGTGATGATTTTTGGTAGTCCTACTGAGACCCCCAATGTGTATGTTGATTCCCTGGCCCAGTTTGTTAAGCCAACTGTCACAAACCTGGGGGTCAAAGTGGACTGTGATCTGATGTTTGAATATGAGATTAGGGCGTTGGTAAAATCTAGCTTCTTTCACCTCAGGCAGCTGGCGAAAATAAAGCCAATTCTTTCACGGCAGCACTTCGAGACAGTGATCCATGCCTCTGTTACCACTCGGCTGGATTACTGTAACACACTCTATATTGGGGTCAGTGCATCTTTTATTAGTCATCTACAGAGAGTGCAAAATGCCGCAGCCCGTCTTTTAACTGGCACTCCAAAGTTTGAGCACATTTCCCCTGTTTTAGCTTCACTTCACTGGCTGCCCATTTCTTTTAGGATTCATTAAAAATTCTTTTGTTTGCTTTTAAATGTCTCCATGGCCTTGCACCTTCTTATCTCTCTGTCCTGTTACAGCCTTACACACCCTCCCGCTCTCTCAGGTCAGCTGATCAGCTGCTCCTGAATGTACCCAGGACTAGGCGTAAACGAGCTTCCTTTAGAGATAATACAGGCCAGTTCCTTACCTGTTTTTAAGTCACTCTTGAAAACACACCTCTTTACCCTTGCTTTTGTCACCTTGTGAGATGTTGGTTGCTATTTTTAGTTTTGACTTATTTTAGCTGTTTTGGGGTGTTTCAATGCTGTTTTTAACTCGTTTTTATTCTTATTATTGGGCTGTTTTAATTTTATGTCTCATGTGTTTTATTTATTTCTCTTTGCTGCTTTCTGTTTATTCTATTGTTTTAATGTATTTTCTGTACAGCACTTTGTTCCTGTGCTGGGCGTTTTAAAGTGCTTTATAAATAAATAAATGAATGAAAATGAATGAAATGAATTTCCATTTAGTTGTGCTTTAGTATTTTGGATTATTCATTTTGAATGACTTAAAACTGCAGATCGTTTTAAAATGAATTGATTTTATGTCAAAGATTGTGTGTATATAGTAAAAACAAGAGTGGGCCCAAGACAGAGCCTATGGGTACCCCACAGAAAAGATCAGTAGGGTCTAACGTTATTTGGTTTATACAGACAATGTTAGAGAGACTTCTTTGATAACACATCAACATTTACAGAACAAACAAAAAAGTCTAAGCAAACGTGTGCTCATCCAGTAGGCAGTGGCAAACAACCAAGTAACCTAACATGAGTGTTTTTGGTCAGAGGGAGGAAATACGAGCACCACGGCCCTCACTTATCTTGCTTGTGGAAACTGTCCTATCTGTATTTTTTACTTTTATTTCATTCAGAAAAATAAATGAAAAACATACAAACAGTACCAAACAAAAGCATGAAAAGGAGCAGGGAGAAGAAAAACATCTTAGATTTTCTGCCCCCTTTTACAAAACCAAACCAAATCAAGAACTCTCCATATTCCTGCTCATTCAATCACTTCACAGACACCATCCTAAATAATGTTTGCATAATTCCTTAATACCACTAATTAGAAACACTTTTAAACACAATTAGTGATTTAGATTATTTTAGATCCTTGTCTAGGTTATTCCATAATTTAACCCCAACCACAGAAATACCAAATTCCTCCTACAATAACTACCAACTATATTTCTGAACATTTTCTGAATATTGGCAAGTAAAATATTCCTATTAGCTTTATACATAACTTGCAGTATTTTTAATGCACCATATCCTGAAATTTCAGTACACTGTATTTGCTAAATGAAGGGTTGGACGGATCTCTATAGCGAGTGTTACTTCAACGCCCTTTTCTGTAAAACAAACAACAGTTGAAAAGGTTTTATATGTTGATCCCCAGAATTCTATTTAGTAGGACAAATATGGCCCAATTAGTGAGTTATATAATGTTAACAACCCTGAACTGTTAAGTAAATACTTGACTCTGTGGAATACTACACTGGCTTTGGTGATTTTACCTTTTATTTATCCTACATTCTCCTGTATGTGATTTCCAACTAAGATCCTCATCGAACATAACTTCTAAGAAAATGTATTTCCTTCACTCTTTAAAGATACTTCTTTATTGCTTTTGTTGTTAAACAATATAAAATGTGTGTTATTAAGATTTAATGTTGATCTATTTATATCAAATAATACATTCACTCCCACCAATGAAATCTAAAACATTTGTACGAATGGCTAAAATCCTGATTAATGAAACATGCGGTGGCCACTCGTACGCATGTTCCTCCACCATCGACTGCTGATAAATCCCACCTGTGCATACCCAGGTGCTTGTATCCGGTCTTGAGGGATTTAGTGATCTTGCTAGTTGAGCGAGGAGCACAGTGGAGAAGCCGCTTTGCAGCTGAAACTCTCCTGGTGTGCACTGGAGTGCAGCGATTGTCGCGAATAAACCTTTCCGCTGCCATTCTGCACCGCTGATGCTTTCAGCGTGCAGTCGGGGAAAGGCAATGTGTACGCTCCACAGAAACACAACTAAGCTGAAACATGGTGGTGTTGCTGGACATGTTGCTCAGTTTTGTGGCTGTTTGTCAGACTCTGAACCAGAAAATGACTGCAGGCAGTGAACAGAAGGCAGATAACACCGGAGCAACCAGTGACTCCTCCCACTAGCCAATTAATTATTAGTTAGTCATTAAAACTCGTTAGAGCAATTTCCATGAAGTTCCACCTCCTCAGAGGTATTAGTGTCTTCTCTAATGCCGCTCAATCTGCCTCGCTTAACGACTAATTCTGTGGTTTGTTCACAATACAGGAATCATTTTAAATGTAATTCCCCATCCATACACATGCCCATCACTCTAAACCACTTATTTTCTCCTGGTTTCACTGATGGTACATATGCCCAGTGATGGAATTACCACCTTTGAGGAATGGTGCTTTTTGAGTTTTTCAGACCTCTCTTCTAAAGCCAATCTTCCAGCCTCTTACCGGTTACTTATTTTCAAGTTCAACATTGCGTCCATGCTCTTGTTCCTCCTTATCCCTCCCTTCCCAGCACTCAGTCATGGGAAGAATTGTTTTCTCTTAAATCCGATAAAAAAATGATTATATCCCTGATATTTAAACAACTTATAGACTTGGATGTACATTTGGTGGTCACAGTTACAAGAGCTTGGGAACAGGACTTGGGTGTAACGTTTTCAAATCAATGATGGGAAGCCGCAGTGTCTGATGTCTGTTATAGTGCATCATGTGCTAGTTTACAGCTTATTCAGTTTAAGGTTCTATATAGAAGTCACTATTTGAAATCTCGTCCATCTAAACTCTATCCACATGTGGTAGATCGGTGTGAGAGATGTCAAGCCTCTCTGTGTGACCTGAGTCACATGTTCTACTCATGTCTGAAACTCCATAGCTTCTGGAGACCATTTTCAATTCAATTCAAATTCAAAGATACTTTATTAATCCCAGAGGGAAACTGTCCTTTTGGGGATGTCAGGACCCAGGTCTGAATGAACTGCTTCCTAGCCATTTTTGAGTTCCCCGTACTGTCTGGGTTAATTCTACTCACTCTAAAAATACTAGCCTTTACGTCACTTTTAGCCAGATGTTGCATAATGCCCCTTCTGAACCTTCTTCCACTTCCTGGTTTTAATCAGTTATGCCATTTCTTAAGTTAGAAAAAATAGGCATCACAACAAAGGGTGTTTCTGGAAGAGTTGCACGCATGTGAGGCCCCTTTGTGGACCATTGTAGGTCACTAAAGCCATTTTACAACCACCATGTTGGCAAATCAGCGTAATATTACCTCAGAGCGTGTCTTATAAACGCGCCGAGCCAGCATGGTGATGTGTGAATTGTGCGGCATTTGTTTTGCCTCGCTTGGTAGTAATATTGCGGTAATTGTCTGTCTTACAATGGTGATTACGCCTTGGCACAACAGAGGGAGTAGTCACGATCAGGCGGAGAGTTGCTGCTGAGATCCGGCCAACAATTATGCTGAAAGTGAAAACGGCCCGTACGTTTTGCGTTTGTAAACAGTTTCAGCTGAGGTGATAAACTGAAGCAATGCAGCGCTCCTGGAGCGTCTCTCTGTTAGAGCTGGAGGTCAGATCAGAAGAGACTGCACGGGGACTGTGGAGGCAGACACCTTTAGGGGTGGCTTGTTATAAAAACTTGATGAGTGCGTCTTTGATCGCAAAAAACGTGAGTTATGTCCAAGATAAAGGGAAGTCAGTGGCAGTGCAGAGACTGCCCCCATACCCCCTTTATAACGCCGTCGCCTAAACTTCTGTGAAAAGGACACAACATCAGTCCCACGGTCTGACCACTTATAAACGACCTGAGGCTGCCTGATGCTGCTTCAGCATTGCAGAAAATTGACAACATTGTTTTGTAAAACAGCCTAAGTGCTGTTCCAGTTGCTTAATTTGCCAAATTCCACCTAATGCTAATGATGTTATCAGCACAGTGGTGACTAAATATTAGGTCATATTGCAGCCACATTTCTTTCTGATATTGTCCATTAATAGTGTGAAAACAGTGTTTCAGTTAATAATAGAGACCATTTCTTATGTGATATATTCAATTTGTTTTTTTATATTGGCCGATATTATATTTAATAGCTGATAAAAAAATAAATAAAAATCAGGCACCTGTGTGGCCAACTGCCACCACTACTAGACTGAAGAAAGAACCCGAAGGACCCCAAAACACCGTTCTTTGAAATATTTTGAGTTTGTTTAATATTTGAAGTTCAATAGATTTAGAGAGATTTATTGACTTATTTCATTTATATTACACACAGTAGGTGTTCAGCATAGATCAATGTGCTGCTAAAAAGTACATATATCGGCCCTAATTATCAGCTTTAGATATCGGCCATCTGCAACACGATTTATTTAACATCGGTCTGCCTCTGGTCAATAGGATCTCCATGAATGAACAGGCTTCTGTAGCTGGTGAAAATGCGTGGACCATTCCTGATAACTTGTCTGGATTCGGTCAGTTTCCATCACCAACTTATGAAGCACTGGCTGACTCAGAATGTTTCTCTACAGTCAAAAGTGAGACGCCACCATCACAACAGCATCAATAAAACACATTAAGATAAGCTGTAGTTTACGCTCTGACAAAGCCACTTCCTGAACTGGTTGAATAGCAGCCAAAGTGACCTCCACCTTGTCATGATCCTACTGCCAAAACCCAGAGGTAGAACCTGGACAGAAACAGATGCTGATTGGTTAAAAAGATCTTGGGCCACGCACCGGCTCACCGTTAACCCCGCAGTGACCCTGTGATAAAGACAACCAGCGTGGCACCCAGTAAACATCCTGCTTTTCCAGCATCTTTGTTCAGACCTATCCACAACTAACCACCTGGCTCTGTTCTTTATCTAGTCTTCACGCTGTCCAATAACTGATGAAATCAATCACTTTATTTGTCCGTTAGGAACTTCATTCGCAGAGGAAAGTGCCAGCTCTAGCCCATAAAAGCAAACTTTTGATTTAGTCCGGTCCAAAGTCACTTGGACTGCGGCGTAGCATTTACCAGAACGACTGAGGAGTTTTCAGTGAGAGGGCCCAGGACTGCTGACCTGATGGTAAGCTGGTGTAGCTGCAGTGAAGAGCATGTGAGGAATGTGTGGACAGCGGAGCCTTTCCTACGGGTTCTAGGGTTGCAGGTGGTGGCGGGTGGCTGCTGATCTTGCTGCTTCATTGGACTGAGCGTGTTGGCGGTGAGCGAGAGTGAGTGGGCCGAACCAATTAGCCAAACTGATAACTGGGACAAAAAACTGACCTGACTGGAAACTTTAATTACTTTAAATGTTCTTTGATATTGAAATGATCGATGAGAATGTTACTATAAACCAGTCGGCTGCATCTTTAGGTGGAAAACCAGAGGTGGGACTGTTGCTCATCAGGGCTGTTTCTGTTTTATGACCAGTGAAAAAGGGGTCATCAGGGTCATTAAAAGGGTCACAGAGGTCATTTCTAAGTGATTGGGGGGGCTGCTATTAAACTGGCTTTTCCAAAACACAATTAAGATTATTTTGGGGTTTCATTTTTAACCTGCAAATTAGAAAAGCTGAAGGAGAGATAGTTGCATTTTACTTTTCGTGTAGTAGTTTTATTGGTTGGAAGGAAGTTTGCACTGCGGGTGAGCAGATAGCTAAAAAATGGATTGAGTCTACAGCTTGAAACACGGGGCATGATGTGTGAACCTGCAGCTACTCTTGTAGCCCATCTTCCAGAGCAGTGGAAGACTTCCTCAACGACTAGACCCAGCACCCAAACATCCCACACAATGAAAGTCCTTAAAGCTGCTAAAGAAACGCTGGAAAATTAATTAGCTTAAAACCTTGTTTTCATGCCTCCTCACGACATCCTAACATCGTACAGCTATAGATATATTACAGAGATTAAAAAGAAAAAATCTATTAGTTCTCTCTCATTTGTCTAAAAACCTCCACCAACAACACGTTTCAGACGAAAACGACCACCCGGGTGTCCGTCTCACCGAACCGCCGCCCTTCCCGAGTCCTCCACTCATCACATACTCACGTATTCAGCACCAGAACACCACCGGTGTGAGAGGTTATAACAACAGAGAAGGAGAAACAGCCGGCTGCTACCACTTCAGCTTTAGGACAAACTACCAGAGTCCCAAAAAGAAAATCACCATCTGAAGTCACGGACAACAAAAGATGTTTAGCGCCATCTCGTTTCGTCTGGCATCACGGGTTTCTGGTTCTGGCAGAAGCGTATCAGAGAAGACACCCGAGACAACTAATGGCCCAAATGAATGAGCTAACTAGCATCTTTCAGGACCTTCTGCGTTTTGCCAAACATCATGAGGTTAAGTTGAGCAAGCCACCATCACACACCAGCTTCAAAAAAACTGCAATCATCTGGACAAAGATGGCAGCCCTGTGAGCACCAAGTTCCTTGATCCCTCCAGTTCTTTTGATATAATCCAGCCTGATTTAATAAGTAAGAAATCACACAGGTGGACACCTTCAGAACCTCCTGGAATCAAGGAAACTGGAGGGTAGTGTGTCTGACCAGGTAGTAAGCAGCTAAGGAGCACCACAGGGGCCGAAACCCTCACTGTTTTTCTTTCAGATCTGGTGGACCACTTTATGGAACTGTGTGGACACAATCATCTCATCTCTAACATGAACTAAACTAAAGAGATGGCGGAGACAGCAAAGTGAAGCAGAGCAGACTGAGATCCTTCCATGTTTGCAGCAAGATGCTTCATATCTTCTATAAAGTATCTATTGTAAGATCTGATCTGCAGCCCTGGGGGCCAGTGATGGTAACAAGCTGATAAAGAAGGGTGGGTCTGTTCTGGGGACGCTGACCCTAAACCCCAACCCTCCTCTTCAGAAGAAAACAGAGCGTCTTCATTCAGAGGCTTTCCATATCTGCTGCAACACAGAAGATCAATCCTGTCCACATTTCTGAAGGTGAACTTGGTACAAGCAAGGTGGACCTAATGAGGTACAGGCATGTGGAAGAGCTCCTACTCACCTTGAGGTAGAGATGCGAATAGCAGTGATGTAGCAGGTTGTCGGGGGGGCTGCTGAGGCTGCTGACGGTGGTGACCAGCTCTGGAGCATACATAGGCACAGTGTGCTCCACGTTCACTCTCTCAACTTGGAACTGCACTGAAGGTAGCGGGCGCAGCAGCTGGAAGGCCGGCACAGAGACGGGCCCCAGGGACGCCTGGAGGTCAGAAAGGAACGGGATTCAAAGGTGGAGCAGAAGTGGAGGTCTGGTCTTCTGTCGAGGGACTGGTTTACTACACCCACATCAGACTAAAGCTTAATTCTGAAAACTGCAGTGAAGTGAAGTGAAAAAAGATGGTTTTTAAAGGGATGCTTTGCAACTTTTTCACATTTTTTTATCGTTTTCTTGAGTCCGTAGGAGCTAAAATGACCCTTTACAGGGTTAAGGAAGCCCCCATCGCCCCGTGGCCAGAATATTCAGAGTTGTCGATTCGACTCACAAGCCTGAGCAAAACCCGGAGCTACTGTTTTCTCAGGAAGAAACGACAACGTTTGTAACTGGGCTGTTGTAGTTTGATTGCATTTTGGGGGGAATAATGATTATGGGGGCCAGTCAGTATTGGGTGTGTGTGTGTGTGTGTATGTGTGTGTGTGTGTGTGTGTGTGTGTGTGTGTGTGTGTGTGTGTGTGCGTGCGTGCGTGCGTGCGTGCGTGCGTGTGTGTGTGTGTGTGTGTGTGTGTGTGTGTGTGTGTGTGTGTGTGTGTGTGTGTGATTTCATCGCAACTTAAAAGTAGATTCCGAGCTTCTTCAAGATCAGAAGATTGTGAACTTTACTTAATATTTTCAGTTTGCATAGAACAACAATCAGAGAGGTTTTCACAGTTTGCATTTGGAGCAGTTTTCTGTTGCGAGTCCCTCTGAAGAAACCCTACATTTAATTAGGAACAAAAATACGCCCCATACCCCATGTAGAGATTAAAATCATGTTCAGGTAAACAGTAAACATCTTGGATGAACCTAATTCCCTTGCCTGATGTAACGCTCCAAGACATTTTCAACATCTTTCTGAAGAAGGTACGGGTGAGGAGGTAGCACTACCTTTCTTCCCATGATGACGGGAATTAGAGCATGAAGGAGGTTGAACTCTGCCATGGAGACGGTGACTGACACTTGGAGGAAAGTGAGACAGGTGAGTCTGGTTGGGATGAACTCCTCTAAGCTGGAGATCTCCTCTGGAGTAGCCGCACCGCTGCACACCTCAACCGTTTCTGTGATTAAAACATAAACGGAAAGAATGTGGTAAGACTTACAGCAACGGTGAGTAAGGTCACTGAGAGCATCACCTGTTTGTTACTAAGTCATTGCAACAGCAACCAAAACTGCTCCATAAAACAACCATTTTTAATATGGTGACTGCTTCCCCGGAGCTGCTTACAACCATTTCATGAAACCACCCATTAAGCAAAAGGACCAAAGGCAGCAGCATGAGGCTAACCCTGCACACACAGCTACATCCAGAGCCTTTGTTAGGTCTGGGCCTTCGTTCTCCGCTCCCAGGTGGTCCCACAACCTGATCTCATTGACGTTTTGGTCCCTGGCCTACCGCCACGGCATGCTTCGGCTTTAACTTGCACTTTTCTACCTGAATGGGAGGGAGTGCCAGGTCTCAATCAATATGCACAAGACAGACATTTAAATTGGAACCAATTAGCTTACATGACTCACAACAACTCACCACGTTGGAAACCACACAGGAAAAATGACACAATAAATGCATGTAAAAGCATGACGGTCTGTGCCAAGTCACACATTCACACGTGTGTTTTGGTGTAAAATGTTCTTTCCGGCGTTTCACTTCCAACCCCAAACAGTCTTATTACTTTGTTCCTTTTATTTAAAACGTGATGAGGAAGAGCTCACATCAGTGAAACATCTCAGTGGTGATACCCAGAGGTGGAAAGTAACGAATTACATTTACTCACGTTACTGTAATTGAGTAGCTTTTTTGTATATTTATACTTTTTAAGTCGTTTTCAAAATCTGTACTTTTACTTTTACTTGAGTACGTCTTTAAAAAAGAATTGTAATTCGCTACATTTTGAATCATATCGTTACTGAGTAAAAATAAATTGTAGGCTTAATAAATTAAAAATATTACATGTAGCAGCATCGGAACAGGAAGAGACACCTGCATGAGCACCGCGTCTAAACCGTGGGGGTGTGGGTGTACACTTTAAATAATGAGGACAAACAGCCATTTTTACTGCAGTTTTGCTCAAAAACATCAGTTCAGTCCCTGTGATCCACTCGCTGTTTACCTCCTCTCTCCCTCCTCTCCTGCGGGTTGGAACCCGCACCTTCACGCACCGGTGTGACGTCATCAGAATTATGCTCGGCTCGGTAACCAGACTCGGTTCAGTGTTTGAAATGTGTTTCTCTATCGGTCCGCACGGCAGCGGCAAAATAACGTTTAGCGCTCATAACAAGTGGATTATCAGTGCTTTGCTCATAAAACAGAAGACCTGCAGGCCTCTGTGAGTTACAACGTCCTGATACTGTTCAGGTGTAAACATTGTGCTCCATCCCTGTGTTTGAACTCAGAAGATGCTCCTTGATGCCACCGATATGTGATGATTTAGCTTGTTTCTTTATTTTACTCCAGAATAAGAGATTTAATTATTACAAAAGCAGTTCAATGTAGTTAAATTAGTCATTCAAAGATTCTAACATGCTGCAGTGTGTGTGTGTGTGTGTGTGTGTGTGTGTGTGTGTGTGTGTGTGTGTGTGTGTGTGTGTGTAGGACTGCATGAGACAGCGTGGTTTCATCAAATCCATGCAACTTATTTCTTGGCTGAAGTAATGGCTCAGGAAAATAACATATATTTCATAAATAATGACGTCTCTGCAGTGTTTATGATAACATTTTATCTTATATTGTACCTATCTTTGGTCTGGGAGGTGTAACTTATCATGATAGAAGCCTTTTAAAACATGTTAAAGTGTTTCAAGAGGAGATAAATGCATAAATTTAAAGTTCATGTTTGGAGACCAACCTTCACAGTTTGGAGGCTCACGCTGGTGAGGAGACACCATTAGTTCTAGTAACACCTGGGCTTTACCACACTTTACCATCTATATAAACATGTACTGGGTTCAGTTTTTTATTTTGTTAAGGACTTTTGTCATAAATCATTACAGAAAATCCAAATCCTCTCTTCCAGAGAGTGAAGAACTGTGTTTCGCATACGTCACTCCAGCACGTAAAACAAGGTAGCTGCTGATGCTAGTGTTGTGAATCACTGTTATTTGTTTACTTTCATGCTCCTAATTATTACGTAAAATTGCGTTTACAGCTGCAGCAAAAGGTCTGAGCCATGTGTCCGTGTCCTACGCGCATTTTTAAATAACAGGTCTGATCTAAAAAAATAACCTACATCTATAAATCCATCTAGAACTGCATTGTTACTTCTGGACTCCAGACGAGTCCCATTAGCATGACTGCAGCAAAACTGCTGTTAGCTCCGGTGAGGAAAGAACAAGTCCTTTGGGAAAGCTAACACACACATTGCTGTTAGCTCCGGTAAGGAAAGAACAAGTCCTTTGGGAAAGCTAACACACACACACACACACACACACATAATCTAAAAGACGATCTCTATATTTCAACATTAGAACCTCCATGACATCCTGGATTAGTGCAAACAACGAGTTGAGCTAAGGAGTTACTCCAACATCAGGAAGATTTATTCTGGTAAATTGTCGGTTAAATATTTTCCAGAGTTATATCAATAAATACGTACACACAGCAGTAAAACTGTAGATTACTGAACAATATTGGGACACATGATGGAGCTAAGACCAGCTGAGAACTTGTCGGCCTAGAGCTCCCAGTGGAGCACAGAAATGAAATATTTAAGAAAAGTAAACAAACTACCAATTTTGGTTCTGACGATGAACAGAATCCTCCTCTATGTCCAAATCGGGTCGCAGGTCTTCCGAGTCAAACGGTCTAAAACATGTCTGCACCTCTGGTAGTGATATCCAGCTGGCAGGGTCGGAGTTCGGTTGAACTTCTCCGGTAATCCAATATCCGTTCTCGTTGCCGTATCCCAGAGAAAAAACAAATCTGACCGACTAGCAGAGGCTTCAGAAGCTACATCTGATTGATGACACATTGTTCTCTGCTATAACGCTAACGCAGTAACAGCGGTGTCAGGCATTGTTTACTACAGCTGTTTCAGCAGAGCTCCATGTGAAACGTCACCAGCTGCCCAGGGCTTAGACCGGAAGTTAGTTTCTGTTTTTCAGCGCCGGTCACAAACATCAGATTTTCTTACAATTCCAGCCGTCAAAATCCCAAAACCTTTTTCATCTAAGGTTTTAATACACATTTACACATGCTGTTCAAAAGAATTTTGCCTCTGGCCGATATCTTTAAATGAATGAGTGAACCCACTACCAAAGATGAACTCAGCTACCTTTAAAAATCAGCTGCTCTAAATAAGCATGAAGGTCAGAGAGGAGCTGTAGGATGGACATGTACATGAACTGTAATGTAGAGGTAAAGTAGGGCAGGGCCAACGTTAGCAGCTGTCATACGGTCCATTTGAAATGTTTGACTTTCATTTAGCTTGTTATGTGACAGGTTAGAGCACAGTCTCATGTTAGTTTTGTCATAAGAACATTGAGATACCTCACATACTGATGGCATCTAAAAATTTACTTTTTTTTCAAAATAAAGAATAATTTAAATCACAATTGAAATGTACAATCCTAGAAAAACCTCGTCCAATCACTGTGCACGGTGCACGTCCTGTTCTCACTGACTGGATAGAAATCCTTCCATCAAACTGTGTGTGTGTCCGTGTGTGTGTGTCCACACGAGCGTGTTGTGAACTGGTGTTGTGGTTTAGCACTGATGTAACCATCTTTACGCTGACAAAAATGTAACTAAGTAACTTTTACTTTGAGTACATTTTATTTACGATACTTTTTACTTGTACTTGAGTAAAAATTTAGGCAAATACTTTTACTTGTACTTGAGTAAAAAATTATCTAAGTACTGGTACTCGTACTTAAGTAGGGAATGTTAGTACTCTTTCCACCTCTGGTGATACCAACAAACCTGTCTGACAGTAGTTTGGAAAGATTACACATCCTCAGGCTCGGGCAACCCATTCCCTGCACCCAGCTGGCTGTTGATGGGCAGGTTGTGTACTAAACAAACAACAGCTGTTGGAGAACACAAGAATTAGGGTAAAAGGAGCACTAGACCTTGAGCTGGATTGCAGTAGGGTTCGTATTCATGGTCCATGGCACAGGTGATCATCTTGAGGATGCGGTGGACTGCGCTGCTGTGCAGCCTGATGTCTAGAGGTCCCACCACCAGCCTCTTGATGGACGTTTCTTCAACTATAGGCATTACTTCCTCCGTACTCAACACAGAGAAGTCCTGAGAGCCTAGAAAAAACACAACACATCTAACTCATGGCTGGTCCCCCACGGCCAGGAAAGGCTGCTAAGATAACTGTGGTGTGACGCAGCAGCAGGGAGCAGCTTAAGTGATGAATATTCCAAATGTCCTGTTCTCTCACACAGCTGTCCCTTCGGCTCCCTGGCAATAAAAAAGGGTGAAATTAAAAATAAAAGGAGGGGGTGGATGAATGGCGGCGAGGCAGGAAGAGGACAAAAGGTCACAACTTGCTGTATTCCCATCACATTCCAGCCTGAATCTAAGATTTATCTGTCTTCTCCTGAAAAAGCTGGAAGTCTCGCTGAGTTTAGGAAATGTCTAAAGCACAACAGGTAATGCCCCCACCCCCCCACCCCCCCAAACAGATCGGTGGATTACATCTAATATCCTCCATGTGGCTGTAGTTAGAGCACGGCTGAAATTAGCTGGGATTTAGACCATTTCAATGGCTCCCCATTTCCCTGGATTAGAAAGGGGTTTACCTCCACAGCACGACCCAAGTGAGGGACCGGGTGGGTCGAGTTAGTTAGTTCTGTAGAGCTCAGCTGGTTAACAGCGGATCAGAGGACAGTCCCAGAAGGACGAAGCCTGGGTGTTGGCCTGGACAAGCACAGCCGTCCCACTGGGGACGGAGTGGGACGGCTGCATTAGGGTTGTTCTTTCATTAGATAATCATCTGGGGCTGGAGCAGGGGGAGCAAGGGGAGGAGCAGGAGCAGGAGGAGCAGCAGGGGGAACAGCAGGAGGAGGAGCAAGAGAAGCAGGAGGAGAAGCAGGAGAAGCAGGAGGAGAAGCAGGAAACAATCCTCTAGTTACCCCGGCTGTCAACCGGCCTCCAATGTGGTGGCATAGCGTCATAGCGGCATTTTCCCTGTGAGCTCATTCCCAACCAGGAGCGACTGTGACGTGAAACGGGAGTGAAAGCGTTCCACACAGCTGATCCCGTGATGTCACTAAATGACGGGAGAATTGCAATGCCGTGCGGGATTTCAGACGTCCAACACAATAATAAGTAAGCAGAAAGACATCAACAAAGGTCTGGTTTACATCGATGATGGGGTTACCGCAGGAAATTACCTACATTTACCTGCATGGGACTTTTATTTTGACAGTCTCCAATGTGTTTAATATTGCTTTTGCGTTTGACTTCCTGTCTGGCATAAACTAAACTGCAGATTTTGACGTGTTTTGGAGGCGTAACGCATAAAAAACAGACTCAAAACGTAACGACTGCGCGTTCTCGCTTCTGGGGTGCGTCCCAAATGAGACGCTTCGCTGCCGGTGGAATGGAAGTCGTCCACTCTAACGCCGGCTAACTGCAGCGTAGTGGAAGTAAGGGGTCGGAGGCGGAACGCCATCAGGGAAAAATGAACATTAATAACTGGACTTAAATAGCGATGGTTTCACTCTGCCACAGCAGTAAGGCTCCTTTACTACATGTGCAGAAATATTAGGATTATTTAACAAAGCGCTAAACACTGGTTTGGTTTTCATTTCCTAGATGCAGATTTCTCTCCCCACCAGCGCTGCTCAGCCTCACACTCCAGAAACACACTTCTGTGGGGCAAAGATAACGCTGAAGCAGGCAGGCTTTATCTCACATTTGAATCAACATGGTGGAGTGCTGCTGCTGCTGCTGAGGAATGAGGAACTCGAGCCGTCTCTGGGCTTCTGCCTGAAAGAGTGACATCTAATTAGGCAAGAGGGGCCTCCTCACTTTCTCAAGAGCTCACAGGTAAAGAGGCAGAGAGGAAACAGTGTTTCAACAAGCAATGGGGAGAGAGAAACTCAAATATGTGTCAGAGTAGACTAAACACTTGTGACAGTTGCCCTGCAGGTAAGTTTGGGGTGAGAGTGAGGACAGAGAGGGTCAAGGACCAGGTGGCTGTGAATGAAACAAGACAAGTGTGACAGGGAGAAGAAAAGAGAAGGAGTGAGAGAGGGGGAAAGACCAAACGAGAACATGACTGATCTCAGCAGAGAGAAGAGGTGGCAGCAGGACAGAGGAATCAATACCTGTGGAGCTGCTGTTCTCCATTGTGTAGAGATAATCCATGTAGAAAGCCCCAAAGCGCTGCATGCCCACTATCTCTGTGTAGCTCTCCTGTCAAACAAAAGTAGAGTTTGGTAAACAAGCAAGGGAGGCTGCAAACAGCCTTTAGGAGTGGCAATGACTGGGGTCAAGGCAGATATGGTGGAGAGGGTCAACCACTCGCTCTGACGTTGGGTCTGAATGTTAGAGATCACTGCTTGTAGCTGACAAAGTGGATTAAACCTCCCTGGAGTCACTTCACGTGTAATATTCACCACAAAGCTGCATCTAGTCACACTTCACGGGCAGACAAAAAACATTCCTGACACCAAACCTGTTTCTAACGAAGAAAACCAAGCTGTTTGACCTAACGCTGATTATTAGCGTGAAGGTGTAGTCACCGACACCTGAGCACATTTAACATGTCAAAGCAAGCTTAAACAAAGGCCTGAGAGAGCCTTATCAGGGGCGGGTTAATGAGTAATATTTATTAGGCTTGGAGTGGATCAAAGCTGGCCTGGTTGCTAAATCTCAGGTGATAAATTGACTCCAGATTGTTGAGGACAAATAGGAGGATGTCTGGATGGATGGATGAACAGATTACAGGGAGCATAAGGCTCCTCCCCTTCCTGTCGGCTCATGGGTCCCAGTGATGTGTGTCACGTGATCTGACATTAATCAGCTAATCAGCTTGTAAAATTAAACCAACTACAAATCAGACGTGTCATGTATGACATCACAGCAGAAGCTGACCACATGACCAGATGTATGCTGGTTTTCTCCATATTTAATTAGGGCTGGGACGATAGTGAATACATCAATTAACCCACGATACATTGGTCCTGATCAGACGCGTGACCTGCATGTCAGCCACACCCCCTCAGCGCCATTTTAGGTGTATGACTGGTGTTGCTAAGGGAAACCGCAGCTGAAGCCGAAGAAGAGTCAAAAGGATGGATAAAAGAACAAGGATGAACTTCTGAAGGAGGATAGAGATCAGTGTTTTCAGAAACCGTCTACAATCAATAACCTACAGGCTAAAAGTTTGGACACACCTTCTACTTGAATGTGCTTTCTTTATTTTCATGACCACTTCCATTGGGAGATTGTCTGAAAACATGTTTTATTTACTATTTTGTTCAGCAAAGCCACCCTTTGCTCTGATTGCTGCTTTGCAGCAATCAGAGCAAAGGGTGGCTTTTATGAACTAAATACATATAAAACATATTTTCAGCTATTTCACCTTTTCTGGTTAAGTACATAACTCCTCATGTGTTCATTCATAGTTTTGATGCCTTCAGTGACAATCTCCCAATGTAACGAGAAGGTGTGCCCAAACTTTTGGGCTGCACAGTAGGTCACTCCCTACAAGCTCAGAGACAAAGAGAGCTCAGACGTTCCATTACTGCTGATAATAACCACCTGAGGAAGCGCAGCACTACTTCAACCTCTTTATAATCAAGTCCAGTAAAAGTAGCCGCCCACAAACGTGACTCACTACCACAGGAGCTGCTCCAGGTTTCATTTTCTGGGTGAGCCTTAAACACGTTATTGTCAATATTAGCTAGAAGCAGGTACAGAAACATGCTGACGACACGACTGTTTCACTTTCATTTCTCATAATAATAAATCAAAATTCACAACTCATGTTTCGTTCATATTTAGTCTAAACAAGCTGAGCCGCGTGTCCAGAACCATATTAACGATTTCACTTAAAGTAGGAACGTTTTACCTTCAGCGTTCTGGTTCTGCTGCTGACCCGTGACCCACAGAACGAGCTGCTCTCCACAGCTCCTCAGAGCGCTCATGGCTGCTGATCGTGGTGTCCAGGTCTGAGAACATCAGATGTGATGTTCTCTGTGCGTAACATTTAAAACGTCTGCTCACCTGCACGTGTCGGGGTAACTGTCTGTCAGAACAACCAACAGCCTCGAGATTTCTCCGGTAAAATAAAGTGTAAAAAAGGAAAATATCCGGTTAACGCGATCCCAGCCTATTTTTAACTTTCCTGCCTTCTTGTGAAGGTAGCATGGCGGCCCTTCACACAGCAGGAGGAGCAGACGGTGAGGTGCCGTTTGGAGAGGCAGCGTCTATTCTAACAGAAACAAGAGTCCTTTTTTATTTTGTTTGTTTTTAGTTATTTAGAAGTTCTGGTTCTGGACATTCCAATGTTAAAGAAAGGTTTCATGTTAAATGCATTATTACTATGATCTATTAACATGACATAAGTGGTTATTTTGTTCTGGATGATGTGGACAACAATGCCGTTTATCGTCCCCGGCCTGAGAGGAAGTAGAAACGAGAAAAAGGAGACCTTGTGATTGGTGGAGTCCAGGATGAACTCAGCTTTGACTCCATTGTTCTCTGGACTGCGGTAGTCAAACAGAGAGTTGGTGAGGTACGTCATCCCTTTACTCTTTAGACTCTCCCCACAGCTGAAGAACACGGCATCCTGAAGAAACACAAGGAGGAACAAGACGTCTCAACAGGGCTGGGAGGCAAGTATCCATGACTAGAGGAGCTAAGTCTGAGGTGAGTTTAGGATTTCTGAGTCAGCGTTAATACATTTGTGACAAACCAAACAGATGAGTGTAGATGTTTAAGGCAGCTACACACACACTTCATAAGAACAACAGATTTGATTCTGATGAGTCTGGTCCCTCTTTCCTTCTAAAGGACTCGTGCTGTGGAGGGGGTAGTTTTACCTCTTCACGCCGGTTCACATTTTCTTCAAAATCCCGAACTCCCATGATGCCTTTCAGGCAGAGTGCCCGGCAGCCCACAAAGCCACATTGACAATCAAAGAAGGGCTCTCCCATCATGAGCACCTGGAATAAACGCCACAGGAAGTCAGCACGCTCACCTTACAGCTGCAGGTGCAACAAACGTTCTTGCTTTACGGACTTCCAGAACAAATATCACAAGTTCCTTATCCTCCCTTCTGGCCTTGTTCCATCACTGAACCGTCCTCACCCTTCCACCTCTCTCAGCAAAAGCATTCGTTATAGCACCGTCTGAAGAAAGCTGTGGAGCAATTCTGGTTCTGGTTCTGAACTGATGGTCCAGTGGTGTGTGACCAGGTGGTCCTCTAGATTCTAGTCATTTCTGAGGCGTGTCCGAGTCTGCGTTAAACTCAGTAGTGAGTGAATAAGTTGTACCTCAATAGTGATTCCTTCTTGCTCCAGACACAGAACCTCTTTGGACCTGACCTTCTGAGGACTGTAGTAGCTGCTTTCTGACTGCGTGTCGGTGAGCTGAGGAGAAGGAAAACCGCATTAGCTCTGGGACAGTTGAACAGCTTCTCATGTGGGTAGAAACCATTTGGTTTGATGTGACAGAATATTTAGATATGAATCATTTTACGTGTCATCAGCATCCTTTAAACTTGAAGTCACGATGGAGCTACCCACCTCAGTTCAGGCAGACGAGTCTAGCCTGTGTCTAAAACCCATACAAACCAAACCAAAAGGCAGGACTGATAAACTAAATAAGCGTGGGACAGTAAGATAGATATGCTGACACAAATACATTAAAACAGGCTCTGCATTTCTGCTCCTGTCAACTTTGGACCCGAACAAAATCATTTAATAACCAACACAGAGCCACACTGGCTCTTTACTGGGAAATCAGACATGGATCTGAAGCCCCGCCGTACCGGAGGGCAAAAGCAGGATGACTGGGGCTGTGGAGGCAGACAACAACTGGCTGGAGAGAGGACAGCAGAGCCGCCATGTTCCTGAGGTTGGACTACAGTGGGTGGAGACCAGAATGCACCCCGTTCAACTTTAACACAGGAAGCAGGTGCAAATCAAGAAGCAGCTGTGGCTTATTACTGTGATGGAGCAGACTCTCACCCTCGCTCCCTTCTGATAGTTTAATCACATGCAGCCCCCCCCCCGATGGTGAATAAGGATGGTCAGTGTTCTGGTTGGACTGGTCCTGCATGAGCACAGTGGCAACGCCACCACGTGACAGCGTTACAAGCTGTTTCTGTTCCTAGAGCGGTGGGTCCTCTGTGAGTAACCCTAAACCTGGAGAGAACGTTCTCACTACTCTTAAACACACACTCGTTGTTTTTACGTCTCAGACCTGGTCAAGGCTTTGGAGTCGGTTCAACTGGAAGCTACATCAGTGAGAGATGTGACACAAAAACAGGACGTTAATCATGTTACTGGACCTGGAATAGAAAATGGCACCAGCATGTAGAGAAGGTTTGGCAGGTGTGCATTCATAATACAAGTTATGCATGTGTGTAAGAGTCAATACATTAGTCTTCCTGGGATCAAAGGCCTGTGAGGAGTTTAAGTCACGTCTCTGATTTCAAACTCAGGTTCAGGCAGTGGCTGTTCAAAGACATGAAATTCTTTCTAACTAAATACTTCCTTTTAGGAAAGAGACACGAATGTTTTAGGGAAAAAACACTTTCAGCTGCCTGCAATTACCTCAGAGCAGCAATTCATTGATTAAAAGAACTGAAACAATACAGGAATGGCTTAGACATTAGAAAAACACAGACCAGTAATCACACACACACACACACACACACATACACACATATATATATACACACACACACACACACACACACACACACACACAGTAAGTGCGGTGCCTGAATCTGAGGAAACCTGACTGAGCAGACAGGATTAGGTGTTGGGTTCCTTTCTGAGTACGGGTGTAATGGTTAAAACATTAATGTGACCCCAGACAGCTGTTAGCAGGAACTCTAAACTCTGATACCACACACGAGCTAAAGACATGAAAATGCCACTGATGTGCTCATCAGCTGTTTCACAACAAAGAGAGTAGAACAGTGAGGAACATCAAGAAATTTAAAGCAGCAATATGCAATCATTCTACAGTGAAAGGATCACTCAGCAGTCTAAGGTCCCACCATGTAAGGAAGGTCATACTGAAACACTTTTCACCCTCAGCTGGCTGGGGGTGTCACTTCTTCTCCTTTAAAACAAGAGGGACGAAGTTAAAGAGACAATGTGTAGTTTTACTGTTAATCTCTAGAAAAATCCATCAAAATGTTGTTGAAAATGAATTAAATGATGCCCAGTTGTTGAAAGATATTGGCGGCGGCGTAACATTTAACCATAAAAATCAGGTCTAAAGTACATGGGAGAGGGTCTACGTCCCTGGGAAACGCCACATTAGACGCCATGTTTCCTTCTACGGGGCCCATGAGGACAAAATGCATTTACTGATTTGTAACAAACAGTTACAAAACTTTGTTGTTTTACACATTTACCTCTTCACTTGCTGCCAGTGATGAACATGGTCTGCTTTTTGACCCTAATGGGCATCCATTGGTAAGGTCTTACTCCAATACTGCTTGCTTTTAACAATTTAGGTATCTACTGGCCCCTATCGCCAGGAAAAATACACACTGTCACTTTAATGTTAACAACCTGCGAGTTTGTGAAGCACAAACTTTAAGAAACCATGTTATAAGAGAAGTAGAGACAACTAGTCAATGCATGCTGGCAGGAGTTCTGCCCTACCTTCAGGCTGGAGGTACGGAAGAGTGAAGTAGACAACCTCCAGACTAAAGGCCTCCTTCCTTCCACCTGCCACCTAACAGCTCGTAGCTCCTACCACATCAATCTCCTACACGGTTTTTGTATCTTTGCATGCTTCTAGTATCTCCTTTTGTCACATTTGAACTGCGTAGCTTTGCAGACATAAATCCTTGTGCAGTTCTCATACTTTATTTATTTTCATTGATCGCAGTATCTTTCATTTTTGCTGATTTCTGATTCCAGGTGTTTTGGTTCTGTTGTGTTATTGTTTGATTTCATTGCAGTAAGAGCTGTGTCTCCTAAGCACTCATGTGTGAAATAAACTTTATTTAGATATAACTGGAGTATCAGTTGGTCTTCCACACAATGTATGATTACCTTGAAGATGATGGAGGCTTTAGTGCAATAGAAGCCTATGGAAACGATGGGGTCTTTGGGAGTGTACTGCTGAGGGTTGCTAGAGAGGCCTCCTCCTTCTGTCTGCTGGTAGAGGCCTTCCTCCCCCTCTTCTTCAGTGCTGACAATGGCAGGGACAAAGGACCAAGCCCAGGACACCCAACCCTGGTCTCCCTCCTCAGGACTCCCTGAATCCATGAAGAGCTCTTGGCTGGAGTACTGGCTAGATCCCAAACTTTCCATTTCAACATCCATCCCTAACAGGGAAAATAAAATGTCATTTAGCTCTAATGCAAAGGTTACAAAACGATCTAAACATGGACTTTAGTCAAGAGGTTTAACGATGCATGCTTGCAAATATAATCTGGATGACCCAAAACGTGGATCTTAAACATGGATGTATGCAGAAAAACAAAACTAATGTATTCCATCCCATTTGCCCTTCAGGACACTTTAATGCAAGCAAATAGTTTCAGCTGTCAAACACACGGCAGCCTGAGGTGCTCTGGCCCACAGCATGAAGTCACTCTTGCATGAGTACAGCAGAGACAGGGGAAGTCCTTCCCAACAGAGGCCAGAGGGCCCAGCCTGTCAGCTAGCATCCTGACTGGGCCCGGCTATCAAGGCTGCATGCCCTGGACAAACAGCACGTGCACAAGGGCTACGACCAGAACGACAGGGCTCCTGGATGAGCAGGAGTCTAAATGGTGGCTAGAAACCTCGTTTCACATTAGGATTGTATTAACTAGCGAACAAAAGAAACCGCCTGTCCTCCATCGTTTGGTTTTGTTTTATTTCAACAGGCTTTCAGGATCCCAAATCGTGTTGCTAGTCTAGACCCCGACCTTTGACCTGGTCTCATCACGGCTGTTTCCATACATGTTTGGATAGAGGAAATTGATGTCAAGACACAAGAATGTGTAATCCCATTCCTCGTGTCCTTTGTGAGAAACAATATTATCTGTGAAGTCATGGTTCAGGAATCCCGGAGGCCAAGGCAGTGAAAATTATGACACTTTTTAATTCAATCTTTCACTTTGTGAGCTGGAACCTCCGTGTTATGGTTTTATTCTCCTGTTTAGCTCCGTTTACCTAATTCCATCGCATTTCTGCTTGTTTTCCTTTTGTTCTTCCTCAATGAAGGTTTGAGGTGTCAGCTCTTTGAGTTCACATCTGACCCTGATAAAGAAGGGCCTTAAAGTAAAAGCACCATGATTATTAACACAATAACCACAGCAGAGCTGATTTGAGCTCTTAGTTCTTGTCCACATGCAGGCCTCCTGCTGTTGGGATCATTGATGGCCTCAGAGAGATCCCCTTTCAGCAACAGGACATGTCTGAGATGAAACATGCATGTATGAATGGGTGAAAGCTTGTGGAGGAGCAGTGCCCTCACAGGCCAGCAGATGTCCCTGCAGAAAGAGAAGTGGACTTGGACTATTAGATTTGTGTTGGCTCTTCACCCCACAGGTGACACACAAGCACGCTGGTGTGTTGACGCCATTCTATTTGTACCTGATGTAATACATCCGTGAAAAGTGTGTGAAACAAAGATGACAGAACAATGTCATTCCTGTGCACGGTTCTCCATAGGTCATCTAAATTAATTATGTTTTCAGTAAAAATATTTATTTATCTACAACAAAGCAGAAAAAATAAACTTATAATGCTAATAAAGTGGTCATTTACATGACTGTACAACGTCTGCACATTCATCTGCTCACACACACACGCACACACACACACACACACACACACACACACACCTAAATTAAACAAACACACCTCTAGGATCTGAGATGATAAACGAGAACATCGGCGCAGTGGAACGGTCACACATCACGAGTCTAAATGGTGATATGTTGTATTCTTTCCTCACCACTACTCCACATTAGGTTAGGCTCGAGCATAAAGACGATTACTACCTCCCTGTCTCTCTGTGGACAGTTTACAATAATGTCTTATGGAGTCTAGACATGAATTACATGACATGCTGTCTACTAGTTCTATCTACTCTAATGTTTTTGCCTCTAGGAACAATCTGTTGGTCTGCTATCCAGTATGACTGACCATCCCACTTGTGTAGTGTACACAATGTAAATATGTGGTTTTGTTGATGTTAAATATCAGTATGTGCAATGACTACTTTGTGCTATTTTTGATTTAACGAGGTTTCCACAAAGTTTGTGGTTAATGATTACACCAAGACATTCATTTTCATACAGGCTTTCTATGTTGGCCTCCTTTATTTTATTACGTAAAGCACTTTGGTCACCTGCTACGGTTGTGGAAAGCGCTATACAAATAAACGTGATTGACTGATATTAAAGGGATTTAAGTTGACTCATTCCTGCTGTAACCAAGTACAAATGTTCCTGCAAATCTTCTCCAGAGGCAGAAACATTTGTGTCATCTGCAAATAACATCGATTTTATGCTTTGGAAACCTTACAAGACTGATTGGTGATCAATAGAAATGGGTTTGGACCCCCGTGGTACACCACCAGAGGTGTCCAGCCATGCTGACCTGCAGTCGTTTATCTGTACAAACGGATTTCGGTTTAAATAACTTTTATCCCATTTAAAGGGACCCTCCACTGACACCACATCTTGAAGTTTATTAGTTAACATTGTGTGACCCATTCTATTAAAATACAGATAATACCAGCACTGAACGTATGCATGGAAAATCCTATGTAAGCAAGTATAATCTAACATACACACCCATCAACCTTTTACATACACGTTCAACCGCTTTCAGCCTCGCTTTAGCTTCTTCACTGTCAATTACTTCTAGCACAATGAAGTCTGGGGGCGCTCAGGTTCCAAGAGCTGGTTCCCGCATGTATATTTTTGTGATGGGATACTAATTCATTCTCAGAGGTTCTGCATAGCAGTAGCATGACACCGACTCTTACATCTGGCATTGGACACCAAACTGGAAGCTGCGCCAACTTGCAGTAAAAGTTCCAAGCCAAGAGGCAAGGAGCACGTTAGAGAAAGCAAGGCTGTATTGTCTTAAGCTCCCAGCTTTCCTCTCTGCCCACCACTTTAGCTCCCCCATAATTTACTCCTTGTGCTACGAAGACTGACTTAGCCTGTGATTTGATCTTGCTTTATTTGACCACATTAGGATGAGTACTTTATCAAAAAGCAGGATGGGTGTTTACATTAGCAGAGGGTTTTAGATTTATGTTAGCGTTAGCTAAGCCATGGAAATTCTTGCCTCAATGTGGACAATAGTGGCTGTGCCTCATTGCCGTGGTGAGATGCAGCCTGCACGAAGTCATAATAAACTAACTTTAGTTATTTTTGCCAACATCATCTCAGCTCATCTGCACAGTTAACATAGGAAATGATGCTCGACTTAAAAACACCACAGAGGAAACTCTTCAGTCTGATGGGTGTGTAAACACCAAAGAAGCTACCTTATTTAGCTTACTTGGCTCAAATTCAATGAAAAAAGGCAACACGTACCAAGTCTTAATGTTAAATTACTGAAGCTATCTTCTCAGCTAAACGAGTGTCTGTGTGCTCAAACAACTGATGGCAAGTAGTTCATTTTAGATGACAAAAAGTATTTTAAGCACACAAATTATAACCCTTTTGGCTTTCCGTACTTCATTTTGCTGGTGATCTTACACTCTCCGTTACTGCGATCTGTGATGACCAGAGCTTTGTCACTTCTGACTTTAACCAAGCAGGACTTTGATGCTTTGCCGAGGTGTGCTAGGAATGCTTTAGAACAGGGGTGTCAAACTCATTTTAGCTTAGGGGCCACATTGAGGGAAATCTAGTCCCAAGTGGGCCGGACCGGTAAATTAAAAAAAAAACTTCAGATTGTTTTCTTTGTTTTAATACAATCAATATAAAACAAGGCTGGAGCCTGAGGACAGTGTAGTACAAGTACAACACCTGAAGTGTACTTGAAAATTTGAAAAAAAAAAAAAAAAAAATCAACAAATAAAAAAAACATTCCTTAGTGATTCAAAGAGCTTACAGATCACATGGCAAGATCAGTTTCATGCAGCACTTAAAGTATATTTGACTCATTTTACTTTACATCTTTTAGCTTTCACCAGCACATCAATATCAGAAGTCACATCCTGAGTGGCAGCCAACTTCAGGATGTGATTCAAGTTCTTGTTTGAGCCTTGAGCGCAGCTTTGTTTTATTTATACTCACTACAGAGGAAACTTGCTCACAAAGATAAGTTTATTTTCACTCTACATTGTAAAGTATGAAAATAAAGTTTACACAACCATCTCGCGGGCCGGATTTAACCCGCTTGCGGGCCGGATCCGGCCCGCGGGCCGCATGTTTGACACCCCTGCTTTAGAATGCAAGTTCCTCTACTCATGCACCTCCGAGTGGTGATCACCTAGGACCAACTCGTTGGTAATCTGATTACACACATCAGACCTCGGTGGCTGTAAGTGGTGTTTATATTCAAAAAACACTGAGAGAACCAGAACTATGTTCCCTTTCCTTTACTCACCAGGTGAACTTGCTCCACTGTCTCTGGCGTGTACCAAGCCTTCTTCACCCTCACTTTGTTTGTGTCCTATTTCTCCATAGTAGAGGGCAATAATCAGCTGTAGGATTCGAATGAACATGGGTAGTTGCTGATCAGTGATGGACAGCTTCAGGCTCTCCACCATGGTATGGATCTTCAATATATGGAAAAAAAAAGTTAACATTTGAACTTTCATTTGCCCAAATGGCATCAAATGCACTGTGTGTGTGTGTGTGTGTGTGTGTGTGTGTGCGTACGTACGTGCG